AAGTCCCTTGGACCAGAGCCCCTCTGTGAAGACCAGAGCTATCGTGAGTGCTCACAGAGCCTCTGGTGATGCTAACAGAGCCTCTGTTGTTTTTGACAAAAGACTATCTGGCTGTGCCGTCCTCTGTTATCTTTTAAATGACTATCTTCAGATTCCTTATTCTGGATAAGACTATTCCTGTTCTGGATAGCGTCAAACTTATCCAAGTTTCGTGGGTTACTGCCTATAAATAAAGTGTTTCAGATAGAGAAACATGAAAAAAAAGAGCATCTAGAGAATTCTCTTTGTAATAGATAGATTCAAAATCATATGAGAGTTGATTAGGGTTTCTTGAGAGTTTGTAATTTCTATTTCAATAAAAGAAAAGCAGCCGTTGTTTCTCTGTTTAATCTTCTTGTTTACTTTCTCTTACAAACTTCTAGTGTAAATCGTTCTACTGTCAGATCTGGGATTATAACAAGTGGTATCAGAGCAAAATCGATCTCTTAATCTTTACGATCTTTCTGAAGTAGTTCGATTTTCTTGAAACAAACTGTGTCTTGAACGCCTGCTGTTCGACGACTGTTTGGACCGGAAATCTCATCGATTCATCCCTCTTTCTTTACGTTTAATCAAAATCTTTTTAAAGGATTTTGTGTATTTTTGGATGAAATCGAACCTTTGTTTATTCTCTTAGGTTTATTGAGTTTCTTGGAGTCAGTCGATTTTTTTGAACCTTGTTAGAGTCAGATCTTCGCTTAAGGCGTTTAGCAAGTGTTCTTGATACTAAGCCAAAGGCATTTGGTGTTTTATTTGCCAAAAGTAACACCAATTTCTTGAGTTTTGTTTCATCTTCTTTTTCTTATGGTTTCTGAATCTGTATCAGCTTACTGTTTCTCACGTMTGTWAACACHCAATCCTTTCATGTCTATGGCAGTTTTCATACATGATTCGCCCTTAAAATCTTCAACAACTTTTCTGTCAATTTTATTGACCGGCTGTTTCTTGAAGATAATGTGCTTAAATGTGAAAATCTTCTCTCCAGATCTAATTTCTAATAGTGTTTGTCTTTGTTTGAGTTCTAAAACTTCATTTCTTCTCAACTTGCGGTTCTTTGATAAGATTCATTGTCATAAGACTAACTGCACTGTTCTGTCATGTAATCCACACAGTTATCTGTCCCTYTAGGGATGAATTTGCTACTTCTRTGTRGARTAGYTATTCTGTTTTTCATAGTCTGCGTTGGATTGTGAGCAGGTTAAAGCTGCATTATGTGCAATTAGTGGTGCTGCAATGTCACTCTGAGTCTGAAATGAGCCAAGGGTTGAAAATGAAGAACACAGAGCTACAATCAGAGGGGAGTTTGAAGTTGCAATCCCGAGCTGTCATTATAAGAGCAAGTGGGTGTGCTGTCATCTCCCTCCGTCTAAACACACTAAAATCTTCTGCCAAGGAAGTAAAGGAGAAAAGATCAGAAGACTTCATGAAGATGCTTGCTTCATAAAACTTTGAGGGGAGATTGTTAGCTTTATTCTGAAGCTAATGATAACCTTGAAAAGTTTTATTAAGCAATCGGGGCCTAGAAGATGAACTGAAGAAGTTTCTATGCCAAAACGTCTAAAGTTTAGAAGACCAGCCTCTGTGCTAAAGAGTCACGAAGACCAGAGCTTCTTTCAGATACTACAGAGCTTCTGTGGAAACCAGAGCCTCTGCAAGGCTCTGTAAGGACCAGAGTTCTTGGACTCCAAGTCCCTTGGAC